GTTTTAATTGATTTCTCTCTCGACTCTCTCCGTTTCTGTCAGCCTCCCACTCTTTCTCTCTATCCATATAAATTATTAAATTTAAAGTCTCTCTCTCTCTACTTTTTCTCTTTGCTTGACATGATTATTCAATTCTCTCTCTCTCCATCTCTCAAGCTGAAAACGCAATGGTTCTTTGCATGTATAATCCTTTTTAATTTTTTTTTTAATTATGCTCCTTATCTTAATTTAATCATTAACAGTTATCCTTTTTAAAATTTTCCCTTAAAACATTGTTTTTTTTGTTCCCTCTAAGGAAGGCGGCTACAGTTGCCGCTTTCCTCAATGAGGGAGTCGGTGAGGGGAAATTATTCATTTCTAATCATTTCTAATTATAAATATATTCTTGCCACCCAAGCATACTCTTTAAAAAAAGATTAAACAAAATAGTGTGGTAATTAAATATGTAACCCATAAATAAAATTTCACATTAAATTAGCCTCTAATTTAGGTTTGATCATTTTTTTGTTAGTTAGAATAAAATATATATTTAATATCTTTATCAGCCTATATAAAGCCCATTTAGCGTCCTTAATTGCTCTCCAACTATCTTCACTTGCACTGTAACAAGTTCTAAGATGTTTTCAGAGCACATTACTATAACATTTTTTGTCGGCGTTCTCGGTATCTTCTTCTTTTACTTCTCTCTCTCTCTCTCTCTCTCTCTCACTCACACAGGCACGCACTTTTCTTACTTCTCTCTCTCTCTCTCACAGACGCACACACGTACAGGCACGCTCTTATATAGTTATATCTTTCCTCAACTCTCACTCCACTTCTCACGCAGACATGCCCGAACCCGACCCGTCGACCCGAATTGACACCCCTACTTATATCTTTTTTATCATAAAGAAGTCGATGCTTCAGTTGCATGTGGTCATGTGGAGGAGCATATTCTTAATTCTTTATTTTTTCACTTAATTTCCATTTTCAGAATTCACTCTTTATTAACAACAATTTTTTTGTCGCTATAAATTAGCTTCCAATTTTAATAGTGATCAGTTTTTTGTTATGTAGATTAAAAAATATATTTAATATTTCCAGTTTGTTTTTTTGGAAAATATTATGAGCCAAATTTTCTAATTTGTTCTTAATGTTGATACTTTCAGGCAACCTTATTTCATTCATGGTTTTCCTTGCCCCAGTGTAAGCATCTCAATTCTCAACTACCTGGCTATATAAACAGTTAACATATTTAATAATTGGTGTTAACATAGCTAATCTATATAATACAGGACTATCTTTTATAGAATTTACAAAAGAAAATCCACAGAAGGATTTCGTTCTGTGCGCTATGTGATTGCTCATTTCAATTGCATGCTATGGGTCTACTACGCTTATATTAAAACTGATGAAATTCTGCACATCACCAATAACGCCTTTGGCCTCCTCGTCGAAAGCGTTTACATAGTTATCTATCTTATTTATGCTCCATTGCGAGCAAAGGTATTATTAATTATGCAATTAATCTAATAAGCATATATTCTGGATGATGCATGGATTAAAAGTTTTGGTTAATGATCGATAGAAACTCACTGCTGCGATAGTAATCTTCCTCAACGTTACTGTATTCGGGGTGATTGTGGCTATCACGCTCCTCCTTTTTCATGGACAAAAGATTTTGAATATTCTAGGCTGGATTTGTGTTGGCTTTTCAGTGATCTTCTTTGCTGCTCCTCTGAGCATTATGGTAATTAAGAAACTTTAATTTTAAT